ATCTAGGAAGCACTCGTCCAGCCAAACAAACTATTAAACAGATCGGTGAGGTCTATGAACCGCTCTTCCAACCAGACAAACTATTAAACAGATTGGTGAGGTCTATGAACCGCTCGTCCAACCAGACAAACTATTAAACAGAGCGGTGAGATCTAGGAAGCACTCGTCCAGCCAGACAAACTATTAAATAGATCGGTGAGATCAATGAAATACTCGTTTAACCAGACAAGCTATTAAAGTGATCAGTGAGGTCTATGAAGCACTCGTCCGGCCAGAAAAGCTATTAAACATTAATACGACAGTAATATGTTAATTAGCTTTCCAAATACGTGGGTCATAATGTCAAAGGAAATACTTTCCAAACGGTTAAGACATTAGGAAGACTCAGTCAGTTTCCCTGCTTATTTACACCACAATTTGAACAATACTAATCAGGGTTTCCTTCCCATATGTTTATTGTAGTTATTACATTTTTTTATTGTTGTCAAGAAGAAACGTGGTGTATGTTAGCGTGAATATCTAGATGGTAGAATCATTGTTACAAGTCGAACGTAAGGCTTAAGTGTTCTGATATAAATATAGCATGAAACGTGGTTCTAGACAAGAAATAAATCAATCCGATACGGTAAGTTAATGTCATCAGACACATACGTGCGAACAAAGTAGATATCACAGAACTCGCTACATCACAAAACTAAAATCTAACAACGCGAGAGAATTATAATGTGTAATATGACCTCGATTTTATCATACCTACAAATTTAAATTAGGCTTAATACAGATTATCTGTCAACTTGAAATTGTGTAAAAACCGGATGTCATTGAACTCAATTGAGTAAATGTACGATTGTAACTAATAGTGATGCGTCTGGAGGAAAGACATTTGAATTTTTTTCCTGCTGATATAATTATGTAAATCTATGTCGTGTAGCCCTCCGATGGCTTAACGGTAAGTCTGCGGGCTTATAACTCTGGAAGTCGGTTTTTGATACATGCAATGGGCAGATCATAGATAGCGCGTTGTGTAGCTTTGCGTTTAACAACAAATAAATCAAGTCACGTGATTAAATACTTTTTAAAATTTTCTAATTCTTTAAAACATCATTTCAGTGAATTCTTTCATGTTTCAACCAATCACTGGAGCTTTTCAATATGACGTCGGCAAACTTAGCGTTATAATCCCTCGTCGAATTTTGACAATATAGTTACATACACCTTCAGCCTTGATTATAATTTACACAAAGCGATTGGCTGATTTCTTGCAATGTTACTAACCGTTCTCTTAAACAGCAATAAAACTAGCGAATAAAAGTGAAGAAAAGTTAAGTTGTTTCGTGTCCTCAATTGGCTGTCTGCAGTGAAGTAAGAGAGTATATAAACCAACGTCCTGTTAGTTTTCGGTCTCGCCTCTTGCAGCGGGCTGCGTCTTCAAACCAACAACCATGAAATATTGCATCCTGGGAGTGTGTCTGTTGACTTCTCTGATAATCAATGGTAGGTGGTTTGAGTGTATAGCATCTCCCGAGACATGAGCATAGGTGTATTCTCATCTTCCTGTCCACCTAACCAGATGCTCCACAGACTCATGTGTTTGGATGTGCTATACCTTTGTGTACCGTCTGAAACAGATGTATTTCTTATATAAATCATATTTATCTGTATATATTCATTACGTCATTTGATTCGTTGTCTGTGTTGTTGTTTGTTGTTTTTCCGACAGAACGAGATTGACGAACCATTAAGTATGTTATATTTGTTAGGTTCAAAGACCGAGATCGTTCACCGAATGAAATTAAACAGAAACAACTATAATGAAACATTTGTGTTCGGTTTTAGGTGTCTCTAAAAGACCACAACGCGTTTTGGCTGTGTAATAGAAAATGAAACGGAATCTCGGCTTGTTTCGTTTCAACCGTGTAACTCGTTCTACAATTTGCCAAACTGCCACAACGCGCTGTTATCGTCTCATCATTGACCAAATCCTTTGTATTTATTAAAGTTATACCAATTTATATTTTGGCAAACTGTAAAAGAGTCAGTTCAATGTGTGGAATGATTATTAAAATAAAGAAGTCAGTTCAATGTGTGGAATGATTATCAAACTGTAGAAGAGTCAGTTCAATGTGTAGAATGATTATTAAATAAAGCGTCAGTTCAATGTGCGGAATGATTATTAAAATAAAGAGCCAGTTCAATGTGTGGAATGATTATCAAACTGTAGAAGAGTCAGTTCAATGTGTAGAATGATTATTAAACTAAAGTCAGTTCAGTGTGCGGAATGATTATTAAAATAAAGAGCCAGTTCAATGTGTGGAATGATTATCAAACTGTAGAAGAGTCAGTTCAATGTGTGGAATGATTATTAAAATAAAGAGTCAGTTCAATGTGCGGAATGATTATTAAAATAAAGAGCCAGTTCAGTGTGTGGAATGATTATTAAAATAAAGAGTCAGTTCAATGAGTTTGCGTTAGATCATTTGTTATGTTTCTTACCACAACGCGTTGTGCTAGTTTACTTTGTATTAGATCTTTTGTTATGTTTCTTCCCACAACGCGTTGTGCTAGTTTACTTTACGTTAGGTCCTTTATTATGTTTCTTACCACAACGCGTTATGTTAGTTTACTTTGTGTTAAACATAACAAAGGACCTCCTAACGCAAAGTAAACTAGCACAACGCATTGTGGTAAGAAACATAACAAAGGACCTGACGCAAAGTAAACTAACACAACGCGTTGTGGTAAGTCCTTTGTTATGTTTCTTACCACAATGCGTTGTGCTAGTTTACTTTGCGTTAGGTCCTTTGTTATGTTTCTTACCACAATGCGTTGTGCTAGTTTACTTTGCGTTAGGTCCTTTGTTATGTTTTTTTACCACAACGCGTTGTGTTACTTTACTTTGCGTTAGGTCTTTTATTATGTTTCCTACCACAACGCGTTGTGCTAGTTGAATTTATGTTTGGTGTTAGGTGCTTTGTTGTATTTAATACCACAATGTGTTGTACCAGTTATGTGCTAAGGTTTACTTGTTTGTCTTTGTTTTGTTTCTAACTTATGCACACAAACACACACAAACACATATATACACAGTATAATAAAGTTTTGACTTCAGCTTTGTATACATTTCCTTTGATATACCCTGGACACTTGTGACTGTTCTGGGCGTTCTTCTAAATTTCAGAACTGTGATTAAAAATCAGTCTTTCGAAAAGATTTACTTGTTTTATCCCCGAATTCTTCAGGGAATTATTGGCTTGAACAATAAACCTGAGTATTCGCTGAAGTATCTAACTAATATCCTGGAGGCTGAGCGTGTCCCAGTGATTAACGTGCCGGACTGTGGCTTCCTTATTTGCATACAGTTACAGGAAAAAAAAAAAGAAAATGCATTCCTAATTTTGAAGCCGTGAGTGCGTTATAAGGGTGAAAGTTAATTTCCACTATTCAAAAGAAGCTCGAGAGTTAACAGTGAGTGCTGTTGACTAGCTGCCTTCCCTTTAGTCTATAACTAGCTCTTGAATACGCTTGCGCAAATATCTAAAAATATGCTGTTCCTGAGTTGTGCTAGTTATTATTATATAAGTTATTCTCAGACCATTTGAAAAAGAATACGTATATGATAATCATTGACCAAATGAAGCAATGAGGAAACATTATTTCTTAAGATATTTTTGGGACAAATGGGTTTTAACAGCGAAGTTATAATAGAAGAAGGATAACATAGATGGTGCTCTTATCTATAAATATTCACCCAGAGGATTTGTTTGTTTGTTTGTAATTAAGCACAAAGTTACACAATAGGCTATCGAAACCCGAATTCTAGAGCT